TCTTTTCAGTTTTTTCTGTGTCTTTTGGCACGATGAAGTTGCTGTTTGAAGTAATAGTTGTTAGTTTGTTTGTTGGTGCCCTTAAACGATTGGTTGAAGGGTGATTCGGAAGCAAGTTTTTAAGAAAAAGGCCTTTTGAACTTACTTTTAACCTAATAAACACTAAATAACATCATTTTCAAAAGGCCGTTCCACTGAAAGTTCGCATTTTAATTCTAATCCTGAATCGCGATTGGCTAACTTTTGGATCTAATCAAATTGACAACGAAAGGTTGCGATAATATATTTATTACTAAAACATCAAATATTTGATTCTAATTAAAGTAAAATTTTCGATTAGGATGGTCGTTTTCTTTTTTATTTTGTTATACATTTATGACTTCAGGTTCCTTATTAAATATATATATTTATTTTGATTAACTATAATTTAAAATTTGATTTTTTGATTTACTAATAATATTATTGTCATTTATCTGTTCAAAATTCTGAGCAAACTAGGAACCTGCGAAATCTGTGATATAAATCTACATCGTATCCGCAAAGTTGATATAAATATTGTAGGTGGAGGTAGATTCGGAATATCAATAGATTCAGAATCAATTAAGTTGATTTCGAACCTTAATGACTTATATGGTAATTTATTCTTACGTGGCGATGAAATTTATGCAAATAGACAATATGAATAACCGGGAATGATGATTTTCTGTGGTCGTGCTAAAATGCATCAAATTAATATATTCTACACGATGGTATTTTTATGGTTCTGCACGGTTTCCGCGGTATTCTGGATTCTGCAATGTTTTGAAATCAAAATAAAAACAAATTTTATTATTAAAAATGTTCTTTTATTATTATTATTATTATTTTGCATAGATAGTATGAGGATCAAGGTTTTCTTTTACTTTTTGTAATGATACAAAACCTTCTATATTGTTGCAGAATTACTTACTGCTTTTAAATTTCAGATAAGGAATTCTTAGCGCTAATACTTTACATATCTAAATTATTCAGTAAATAAAAAATGAATCATGATTATTCGTTAAAATAACAATAATCAAAAAAAATATTTATGTGCTAGTTTTATCGTTCATGAGTTTGTATTTATTAAATATATCAGATATATAAATCGTTATTAAATAACGTTTTTACAATGTTGATTGATAAAATAAAAATGTCTCATTAAAGAAAGAGTATGGGAAAAGCTAATACTGTAATAATAAAATGGTATACTGATCAATTGATGGCACTACAGCACTACCATTAACACTGGGGAGTAGGTTGGCCAGCCTATCAACCTAACATGCATTCAGGAAGTGCTAGCACAATCGTAAAAATAGTAAAGAATTTAAAAAATCAGAGAAATTTCTAACTTCTAAAATAGCATCCATAATGCGTTCGAGAGATAAACTTAAAATCTTTTCTCTTCCTTCGAGTGCCTTTTGAACCATAATAATTCAATGCCTTTTCGACTCTTTGAAGGATGTATCTTGGTACGCCATCTGCTCTGTTATAAGCTCCAACAATATGTCTACTGGAACTTGCGAGAAGACATATTTTGACAAATTAGCAAAATTCATTTAATATTCCATGGTCCATATAAAATTTCTTTATCTGTTATTAGGATAATCTTTCAAATTCTTGAATCTTTTTTATAATCTTGGCGATAAACTATTACCCAATATTTTTGGGATTTAAACACCATCAACTAGGTATTATGTTTTGGATCTAAAGTAACATGGGAAGTCACTGAACTTCCGATACTAATTTCATATTCATTAAAGCAATAGAAATCTTTGCCTTTTTGAAACTGAAAGATCATGTAGGATCGATTTGTTCTGGAAGTAATATATTTGTATTCATACAAACCGTATCAACAAGTAAATTAAAAAACCAGATATTTTTTCCCGTAACTCACTCCACCATACTGCGCCAAAATAGAAAAAAAAGAAAACAACAAAAATAAAGAAAACCTTCTTCTGGGAA